TCCGGATTCCTAGAATTATTTTCCTCTTTATCTTTATCTTCTGCTATGTGTTTCTGTAACAAATTAGGTTTTGAAAATGGACGAAGCAGCTTTCTTCCATCTTCACGATTATTTTCAAATTGATTATTGTCGAAATGGACCTGTAAAATTAATGTAATAATTATTATGTGATACATAATAATATTTGTATCATAGGATAATAACTCAAATTAATAATACTTCACAAATTACAGCTCTTTCCGGCAATGTTTTTTTGCCAATTAATTCAAGCCATTCTTTACGCCTATCGCCTGTTGGCACGCGAAATACACGAAAGCCTCTTTCGCTGCGGTTTTTGCAATTCTCAATACAGCAACCGAGCATTTTCGACGTTTCCTAACCAATTAATTTACACAAAGTCACAAACGCATATACAGTTATAACAGGATTGCACTTAACCCTTGTGTACACAACCAACTTTTTACCATTAAAGTTAACGTTGTTAATCCCTTCCTTACAAAAAAATTCTTAAAATTTTTAACTGCACCATTTGCTAAAAATTGAGTTAAATAACGACGATCCGGACGTCCCAAGCGAAATTTTAATTTTTAATCCACTTATATGCAAAGCGTGTACTTACATGTACCGTGGTGAGTACCCTGGTACTCGGTTGCGCACACAAGGGTTAATGTGTAGAAAGTTACATTAAATGCACTATCTGAACTTTCGACGTCATTTTGGCTCCAAATGTTAATCCTCTCATCGCGATACTTTGTTAATCTAGTGACTTTATCAATTACATTGCGCTATTCTGACTAAATCGTTCTTTTTCTTTCTAAGTCTTCTATGCGATAGTCAGGCGCAGCGAGTGCGCAAGGAGTACTGTACATCACGCGACACTCGATGAGTTGATTGACAGATAGGGTGAAACCCTATAATGAAAAACAATTAATTGGAATGCGGCCTTATTCTCGCGCCTCCACGCTCGCTAGCGGAAAATCAACCTGATATGGTGTGTTTTCAGTAAATACAAACTAAAATTGTACTGAGTATTAAGGCAATGCGATTGCTAGTTAGCAAGATATTAAATAAATGTAAATATGATTTGTTGTCCATTTTCGGGGAAATTCGGCGTTTCCACACACCGCGGCCACCAAGTTGGGTTTATATAAGCGAGCGAAAACTTGCGCTCTTGTTCATTATTGTTCTATCTTCGATAGCACTATAAGGTCTTTCGCGTTCGAATATTCCGAAGCGTTTTGATTAGTTCTCTAAATTGCGGTTTGACCGATAGCCATTAGCTATACTCTCGCGATGTGAGTCTTATCGCTCGATATTAATCATCCAGATTCCGCCTTTCGCATAAGTGCGAAACGTAAGTAAAGTCAAATCAATTGCGTAATTGAGCAGTGCGTGCTTCGTCTTCATTTCGAGTCCTCTTCAGTGAAAAGCTACCCGTCGCGCTACGATTAAAACACACGCGGGGTTACAATACTCTTTTACTATCGGAATGAGAGACGACGTGCGTTTCCGCTCGACCCACGGTCACTCTACGTCTTCCGATCGGCTCCATCTCTAAGTTCTTTACTCTCCATGTTAACTTCAAATCTCAAGATGAGCTCGAGTCCGACCCCGAATCTTGAGACCATTTTGCTTAGCCTCGCCGAACAATCCCACACGCCGCGTCCGGAGCGTAACGAACCGCGAACGAACGAAAACTCGGACGTAACATTCACATTTTCTCTTTTCAGAATATTACACAATTCATTACGTATTTATCGAGCAATAGTTGTCGGATAATGGTATATGTACAGCATCATCGACCTGTCTTTTTCCCTTGTTGTTATTCGCCTACTACGTTGTCCTCGTCGTCTACGGAAACTGTGAGTTTTTTGATACCGAGTCAGTTCAACTTACAACAGATTGGTTTAGATCCATTAGTCTTATCACATATCACTGACTGTTACCTTCCTGACGAAGAATAATAATTTGCGCGGCTTGTACGTCTATCACTAATCTTCGTGGCATAAGTAAATTTTCACACTACGCTCTTCTGATCGATAATGAATACTCAGTTGAGTCACAGTTTTAATAAAGTTTTATGTTTAAGAATATTCATACAAGATTTACAATAACAAAAATGCTGGTACGCGATACTTTCGGTACATCGATTTAAAAACAATTTAAGACGATGCGATGGCACATTTAACATTTTGGTAAATGTGTCGATGAGGGGACCCCCCCTCCAATGACGTTGATTTTGACATATGTTGTCCAGGTCATGACCCTGAGTAACCTCCAACAGGTTTTAGCCGTCGCTCGTCCTTTGTTAAAAAGTTATTAACAATCATAGTTTTAAAATAACCGTATTATTTCTGCTATACATGTATGACATGAAGTACTATTCTACACCTTTCCCTGTTCAAAAACGTTGCACTTTCCACGCGAAGTAACTTTCACCCCCCC